GACAATTTTCAGTAATTGCAAGTAAATTTCACAATTAATTACTAAGAAATAGAAAAGAATCTCATTGAATTAATTGTGAAATATTTAAGTAGAAAAATTAACAATTATTTTATTCTAAAAGATTTATTCTCCAATAATCGTTGAAAAATAATTTTTACAGTGTACTTCACTACAGTGTACTAAATCAGTTTTGAATTGATTCATAGAAACAGACAGTTTGAACTGATTTACGCAAATGAATCAAACTTACCCTAATATCGTTTTTGCTACTGACATTTAAATCAAAGACGTTATTAAAATGTCTCATAAAAAATTTGATATTTGATGTACATCACCCTGCCTTACTCTTCTTTTTCTTTTTTTTCTTACATTCTCTCATATGCCCTCTCTGCAACTGCGGTACGGAGTGCCGGTCCTCACCCATATCCACTCAGCTCATTGTTCAGCGGGTAGCCGATTCATCACTACTAAATAAAATAAGGAAGGGGAGAGAAAAGCGCATACGCCAGCACCAGAAAGCAATCTGTCATCCTCCAGCATCTCCTCTCACTCCTTCAGCTCTGCTAAGCTCCTCTCTTTCAGCTGGAGCCCTTAAATTCAGCCTCACTCCTTTGAAGTGTGTTGCTAAAGGCCGAGCGTTTCCATACGGTGCTGTTTGAGAGCCCTGAACTGGTCTTTCTTAGAGGCTGTGAGTATGAGCTCAGTTCAGGCCCATTTAATAGTGGATTGGAAAGAAACAGGGTCTGTGCTTAATCTGCTTAAGCCTAGTCTCATTTTCCTGCGCTAGGCACACAACTTACATCATCACTTATGTGCCTTTTCCAGCCTTTCCTGCGTGTATCCTAGTGATTTAGTGCCCTTGGATTTGACCTCTTGATCTTTATCATCCTCATCTTCACCCCGCACCCCTGCCAGAAATAGGATCAGAACAGAGAATAAGATCAGGACATGTTGCAAGCCAGACTCGAACTAGAGCTGACACCAACCGACAAGTTGTAAGTTTTACCACTGCTTAATAAATTTGAAGTCAGTTTGAAGGAAACTTCCTCACTCAGTCTATTCCAAAGATAATTAAATAATTGAATTTAATTAGCATTTATTTGCTTAAAAAAGATTGCTAATTTGCATTATATTCCCTATATTTTAGTCAAGTGATTTGTATAGTGCTTTTCAGAAGGCATAAATTGTTTCAAAGCAGCTTTACGGGAAGTTATTTTGTATCAAATTCATGCTGTAAAGTCAAATTTTTATTTATTTTAAAAAGATAGCTAATTTACCTTTTATTCTCTCTATTTTTAGTCAAGTTAGGTCATTTGTACAGCACTTTTGAGAATACATATTGTTTCAAAGACTCTTGACAGGAAGTTATATTGAATCAAACCATACTATAGTCCCTACTGAACAGTTTGAAAATCATGCCACAGTGCATTTGCTTTTATATCAATATATTAGACAAAATATGAAACTCAGATCAGTTTTCAAGAGCATTATGCTATGCACATACATACAGTTAGACGAACCACAGATTGATTGATTGGTTATTTATTTATAATGTTTTAGCGCCCATGTTTTAGTAATGTTTTGTTACTTTGAGAGTTGCTGGAATTAATTTTGTTGTTTTTTACACGATAACAATAGGGTGACTTGTCTACTACAGCATGTAACATTTTGTTTGGCTATTTATTTTCAAGATACAAAGTGAGAGAGTTGAAATTGAAGTTGAAGCAAGGGCAGGCAGGTCGGAACACATGAGTGCAGAGCTCTTTGAGGATGTACTGAGAGGAAACCAGGCCAGGCTTAAGAGCTGCAGAGACTAGCAGCAAATCTGCCCTGAGACTGAACTGACAATCACGTAGTGCTGCCACGGGGCTTTTGGGAACAGAGAAGAGAGCTGAGACTCCAGAGCTTTGCTTTGTTTGTGTGTGAATGTTTAAATATGTTTATATATGTGTGTGACCCTGTGTGTTAGTGTTTGAGTGGAAATGAGAAAGCCATTTGAAGCTTGTTAAGGATTGGGGTGTAATGTTTTATGTAGTCCATTTTGAGGGCATAATCTGTCTACGAGCTGACTCTAGGTAAAGACCCGAAGGACCATTTCATAACGCTAAGAGACATAAAGTGGGTGCTTGAAAAGATTGGAAATGTTTGAAGGAGAGGGAGATAAAGAAGAAAAAAAGCATTATATAATCCCCTTCCACATATTTAGCCCAATCAAAGGGGCTTTAGTGTTCTTTGTTCCTCGGACCTAATGCAGATGCTTTGTGTATTAGTTATGAAACACATCTATTTATTTTCCGCTAGTCTCAGGGGAGTCCTGCACTTAGCGATTTGTTTGTGATTATTTCCGTTTGTTTGTCTCTGCCTTTTTTCAGAGGAGAGTAGCTGCGGGTTAGAGCCACACGCACAGGTTTATGTGATGGCTCGCTGCAGCACAGGGGGCAGCAAATGTGTTGCTGCATGAGGAATCACAGCAGGTTGCTATAGATTTCTGTCATTACACACCCTGCGTCCAAATATGCAAAAAGGAATATGTCAAATAGGACATTAGAATGCTCAGAATTCATGATATAGTAGGTGAACACTGCATCTGTGAGCTTGAGGGATTCTAAAGTGTGCAACCAATTGACACTTTGCTGTTCGAATAAGCCATGGAAAATGAGGAACTGCAGTAGTAAAAAAAAGTTTTTTTTGCGGTTTCTGCTGGTACACCATGGTCAAAGTGTGCATTCACAGATTTAAAGACAATGTGGCATATTATAATATATCTGTTTTATTTTATTTTATTTTATTTTATTTTATTTTATTCTTTTTATTTATCTTGTTAGAGCCCTAGTTGTTTTTTGTTTTGTTTTTTTGTTCTTTCTTACATATTTTTCTTTATATTTATCTTTTATTTTATTTTATTTTATTTTATTTTATTCTTTTTATTTATCTTGTTAGAGCCCTAGTTGTTTTTTGTTTTGTTTTTTTGTTCTTTCTTACATATTTTTCTTTATATTTATCTTGTCACAGCCCTAGTTTTTGTTTTGTTTTGTGTTTTGTGTTTTGCGTTTTGTTTTGTTTTGGCGCAGCCCTACTTATTTAGATTTATTCTTAAAACATCTATAATCTACCAACATTTTAGAATCATTAAAATAAGTTAAAAATGAAATGAACCAGCCAAAAAACATCAACACATGTTGTCCTGCATTATTTCCTACTGAAAAAAGTAAGTTATTTAGCTTTGCCTACTAGGATATTAAACAATTCCTATTGAATTTTATGTTTGATACTCTAACTAGGACCATATGTGCTTTGACAATGACCAAAGATGCTTGAGGATTTACCGTACAGTGCCAGTGTATTAGTTGCAGTAAGGTATGGAGAGACTGATAAACGATCACAAACCCTACAGAAAATCACAAAGCACAGCTTCCCAAGCTGAGTGTGGCATTCCTGCATTGTTAGCAGATAGAACTGATTTCCACACAGTGAGATTTTGCAGCTTTTCTGCACTGTTGTCTTTTTTTGTTGCTTTGCTGAAGAACAATGCTGATCTGTTATGTGTGTGGTCTGCGTGTGTGTATAAGCCCGGTTTTGGATGATGATGATGATGATATTATGGGTTTGTTTTCGGGCCCAGTTGGCAATGGTGGAAGCATTAAGAACGGATAAAGCTTTGATCATCGGTGAGGTGTGTCTTGTGTGTTCGGGTCCAGATGGTTGCTTGCGGGCAAAGGTGCAGTCTCGCTGTTTGTTCCACTTTAGTTCTGCAGTTTCTCTACATCTCGCTCTATATGATGAGTGCTAGTCATGCCCGGGGCAAGTGAACTCCAAACAACTCTGATCCGCAGCGTGTACTGCATGTTCGGTCTCGGTAATTCATAGCTTCATATCTCTGCAGCAATCTCCCCCTCTGCGCTCCACACACGCTCTTATTCTTACGCACTTCTCCATATCTCTCTCTCTCGCTCTATCTTCCCCCCTCCCTTTCCTTCTCTCCATCTCTCTTCCTCATGTGCGATCGCACCTCTCTCTTCCAGACAGTTTGTGTCCTCACATCTCTGTTTCTTGCTGTCTTCTGCTCCATCCTTCCTCCTCTCCGTCTTCCCCGTTACCTCTCGTTCTACCGGGAGCCGGCGGTCTGAAACTCTGCCGGAGCCGGGACGGCCACTGGAAGTGCTGGGTTCCTGGTCTGCCGAAAGGATTAAGCGGAGTGGACAGCTGGCAGATGATCAGAGTGAGAGCGGCAGCCAGGACTGGCTCGTATTTATTTAGAGAATTGGAAGATTGTGCAGATATTGGCCGAGCGCTGCGGGACGGGGCCAGGAAGCCTCTGGGCTGTTTTGTGTAATGTGAAAACCTGCCCCGAGGGTGAGTGAGAGCCGAAGTGTGTCATCTTTTCGATGTTAAATTACTTAAGCTTCCCAGCTTCCTGTGCAGAGTCAACTAAGAAAGTAATTTTCCCCCAAAAAAGTGGAGATTTTGTCTATGTGGTGTGTTCAGTGTTGTTTTGTTTGCATGGGTGTCCTGAAAAGCCAGACTAATGGAGTTTGGGATGGAATGGGACCTTCTTGTTAGTTCTGAACAATGGAAACGTGTAAAACCTGTCATTTTTGCGATGCCGTTGCATGACTCTTCAGTATTGCAATTGCAGTTTTGTAATATATTGTTTTTTGCTAGTTCTGCTGGGTAGTATTTGTCCATTCTGCTTTGGTGATGGTCTAGCAGGTGGACCACCATGAGGTTCACCACCAAAAAATAGTGGTCAGTCACCATGGTCTTTCGGGTGAAGCTAGAAAGCCAATGACGTCTTACTGGTGAAGCTAGTTAAAAAGTTTGTATCTCAACATGGGTAACATCATCCAAAACACAACATGCTGGTATATTCAACAGGAATGGCAGTGGTTTCTCTGGAAAATTTGGGCTGTTTATGAGATTTTTCTGTTAATGGGCACTTAACAGTTGAATTTCACCTACGTTCACCAATTGACTTAACCCCTCTGCTCTCTTGACCACAGGTCCTTTGGCATCTCGACATCTTCCGCCGAAGCTTCCGGCAACTGAATACCCACAAGTGCATGGAGGACTCGTGCATCTTCTGCGCTCTGAAGGTGAGTGTTACCAGGTGCTTTCTAAAAAAGGCCCAGTTGTGCATGCCAGTTCAAGAGGTGCTACCTTCTCAGAAAAGTAGCTTGAGGCTACAGGAATCTCCTAGTGTGCCCAGGCTGCTCTTCTAATGATCCAGCAAGGTGAGGGTAGAGGCTGCTTAGACTAATTGACTTCCTCGCTGACCTTACTGTAGCACAGGAACAGAATGAAAATGAGATTCTCATCATCAAAATCTCTCTGTTGCTCTTTTTCGAGGAAGTCTTTTTAATTTCCTGCCTGGAGGCTGATAGAGATGGGAGAGGAAGGAGGAGGAGAGGGAGATATATGCTAGGAAAAGCAACTCGGGTCTCTTTTTAAATAACAAGCAAAGGGCTCTCACTCAAACAATATCCTGTTCTCTAGTCGCCCTCAGGCTAAAAGTAGCTGTGCTATTTATAGGTGTCACATACCAGTAAGAAGTCACAAAACTGACATATTTCTTTAAGAGGCTCCTTGTTTTGTGTTAAAAGAAATCTTTGCCATCAGATTTGTACTTGGCCATTTGTTTCCAAAAATACCAACGCTTCTTGTTGGCTGTTTTTGCCTGAGAGAAAAGGAGAGGTACAAATAGCCTGATAGACTGAGCGGTCTTTTTCTTTCTCTACTTTGTGTCTGGTCTATTCTTGTTCTGGTGTTGGGTGATTTACCTCTTTATTTTATGTCCAGGCGTCTTGCTCTCTCTGAACTGAATGCTTGGTTCTTCTGCTGATGAATAGGTCCTGCACCTTCCGCTGTTTCCACAGCTACCTGTTACCTTGGCTACTCTGTGCTCTGATTGCCCATTTTCACGCCCATGTGATGCCATAAAGGCAGTCTGTGCCTCTTGGTGTTGGTTTCCTTGGAGTTGGTCATCTTTAGTCATGAGATTCTGCATTGGTGGCCTGTTGGCTCTGTGGAATTGAGTCAAATTTAGATAAATTAATGCTGCTTCCTCTATGAGGATAGAGGAACTGTATGGTCCTGAGTCTTTAATGTTTATGTCTTTGGGTCTGGTTAATGGATGGATGAATAAATAAGAAAGTAGGTATTTAAGTAGGTAGATGATAAAAAGAGAGATAGGAGTCCTGATGACCTTGTCTGGGTTTGTTTTGCAGTTTTAAAGATGACCAACCAGAAGAAGTATCTCAGTGACCTGTTTAATTAGATAGATGATAGATAGATAGATAGATAGATAGGTGGATAGGTGGATAGACGCATGGATGAATGGATAAATGGATGGATAGATAGAATCTCATTGCTGTGTGTTCTTGTCCAGTTTTCTCTGGGCTATTTTGTTGATGTGAAACACAAATAAGCTTGTGTGAAATCCATCACAGTGATTGAAATGTGCTCTCTCTCTCTCTCTCTCTCTCTCTCTCTCTCTCTGTAAATGAAGTGTGTGTGAAGTGCTGAGGCATCAGAAAGCACACTGCTGTGGTGACACAAAGCCGTATCATGGGAATGCTTTCACATATTTGCCAGGATTTATGAGTGTTCACCAGGAACTGTTATCCCTGGCCTTCTCCTGCTCTTCCATTCTTTCATCACTCACACTCTCGCAGTTTCTCTCTCGCTCTTGTTTTCTCACTGTATTAAACCTGTTGTTAAATTTAGCTCCATTCCTATTCACTGTTAAACCATTTGGGACTAAAAGCAAATGATATCATCCAGGTAATGTATTCAGAACAAAACAGAAAGAGACCTTTAATTTTAATCATGTCCAAATGAACAAGCTTTAAGCCTCCATTATGTTTCGAAAGGAAAAAGGAATGACTGTGGTTCTCAAAAGAATTTGTATCGCAGTACCTGAAATGACAAATGTTGTTGAGTTGACTGCATAATTTTTCAGTACGGCATTGGTCTTTACTCTTACAAACATGATGGCATGCTTCTGTTAAGGCCTTGTGATGAAGCTTTGCTCTGTGGTAAAGCTTAATGCCTGACTCTGAGGTGGATTCCTGTCCCTCAGGTCTTTCCCTGAGCTCTTTTCCTGCCAAACCCTCTGCACACCGGTGGCATGTGATCTCATGTGGCTCTGGCTGTCCCCCGCTATAGCCTTGACTGGCATGCGTTACGTCACCTTTCTCATTTCTAATGGAGAAACGTTAGTTTCGGCCCATTGGTTCTGAGAGTTCCTCACGCGTGCCGCCCGCCAGCCGCCTGCTTGCCAGCCATGTTATTGAAATTTAATGATCTAACGCTACTAATGAGTGCTGAAATATGCCCTCGCCACACCGTTCCTTTCTGGATACCGCTGAATTCTTCAAATGTGTTTATTTGAAAGTGTTCTCACTGTGGGGAATATCATGTTCATTTACTGAGGTGCATATTAGCTGAGGGGTACGAAGATGAAAAAATCATTGATTGTTTGCAGAAGTATGCATAAGTAACACTTGGCCAATATTATTTACTGATCGCCTTCTTTGATTTCAGTGCGTTTTCAACCTAACAACTACTTCAGTTGTATTAATTATTGGTATTTTATCTTTTTCTGAGTGACATTTTGATATATACTACTGTTCAAAGGTTTGGGGTTGGTTAGTTTTTTATGTTTTTGAAAGCAGTCTCTGTATCTATTTGATGTAAATATACTTTTTTCTATGTTTCTATTTGAATATATGTTAAAATGTCACTTATTCCTGTGATGGCAAAGCTAGGACACATAATCCTTCAGAAATCATTCTAATATGCTGATTTGATGCTCAAGAAACATTTCTTATTATTAGCAATGTTGAAAATAGTTGTGCTGCTTAATGTTTCTTTGGAAACTGATACATTATTTGATGAATAGGAAGTTCAAAAGAACAGAATTTATTTTAAATCATTTGTAACTTTAAAAAATGTATTTTCTATCACATTTAATAAATTTAATGTCTCCTTGCTGAATACCATAAACTTAAATCTCATTTCAGTTGCTATAGGATTTACTCTTCAAATGATTTTTGTACATATTTTAAATCGTAATGTTGTTTATATTGCAGTTAACACTTTCTAACCATTTTCTAAAAAAAATCTATAATGTATTTATTTATTAATTTCTTGTTTGATTTAACAGTAAAATATTATGTGAAATGATTTGTGCATTACCCAGTAACAGTTATAAATTAAGACAATATTATTTAATCAATGAATTATTATTAAATATTTAAAAACAAAGTGATGGCCGTATTATGAATTTAAAACTCATGTGTTGCACATTTAGGGGCCTAAAAAGAGAATATGAATCGACAGACAAATTCACTGTGGTTTATATAGTTGAATGCAGTGTTCCTGTGCTAGCTAAATAATTTGAATGGACTGACCATATTTTTAAGCCTACAATGTTTGTCAACAGAGATGCTGCATGTCACAGAGGCCAAAAGTGTGACATTGGGTGGCAAGGGCCCACATTACTGCCACTTCACGGGGTGTGATAGTGCCTTGAGGTTGGTGACCTCTACCGACTATCAGGAACTGCAGTGCTGGAGGCAACAAATACACACACATACATTCACACAAACAAAATAAATGCAAAGTCACAGTCACTCACACAAGCCGCCACCTCTATTACGATGATGTTTCCTATTATAGAAGCTCCAGTGACACCTCTATGTTTGTGCCGTTTTATGTAGTGAGAGCCAGCGATTGAGTTAAACCCAATTGCAAACTCATAATCAGCATGAGATTCAATCCCTCTGCAATTTGAAAACTGAGCCTGGGGAGTGTTTAATATTAATATATTTATGTGCGTCACAAGATTGCTGCTCCTGTGAGGGTGTGTGTGCATGTGTGTACTCATTGCCCTTGTGAGTTTTGAGCAGTGCAGATGATATGTGTCACTGCTGAGGACTGTGTCTTGTGTCTTTGAGTGGAGGTTAATGTCTCATTTCACAGGCTACGCCTCAGGGCTCACAGCTGACAACACAATCTCTGGTGGTTTGTGTGTGTATGTGTATCTATGCATATGACTGGACTTGCATGTTTTGAGTATAGCCAGACCGGTTGGGTTCCATGTCCTTGTTTGAGCTGAGAAGGACTTTACATCACTGCCACACTGCTATTACACACATGGATCACTCAACCCTCAAATGGGATTCCCAGTTCTACACGCTCTGTAATATAATACAGTATAAAGGCTCAAGGCGGTTTGTGGCTGAACCTGGGGAAGTTTAGCTATATGAATGTCCTTATTGGGAAGGTCAGAGTGGTTTATATGTGTCAGTTTTGGTTAGCTAGCTATTTGGCCCATAAAAAACATCCATTGTGTCCCAAATCAAATACTTCTCTACAGTATATTGTATACAAAAAAATGGTACACTAAAAGAGTATGACCATATCAACATGGCGGATATAGTACATCCTAACTTTTTCAATGGTTTCCAAGTAAGTTCAATATTCAAATGTAGTACCCACTTAGACGTGATTTCGGACATGCCAACAGGCTTTGTAGTGAAGCTGGTTGACTGGGGTAATTTTGCTTGTTAAGCTGGTCTGGGAGTTAACTAATCACTGGATTTGTGAAGATTTTTCAGTTCAATTGCATCATGTCTTTCAAAGAAACTCAGGAGTTTTGTTTGAGGCAAGTATCAGGTTAACTAGAGCATGAGACACTTTGTTTTTGATTTATTTTTGTAAAATATTCAATATGTCCCTGCTGAGAAAAGTACCTGGTTTACTTGTCTCCACTCTTGGTTAGGTTGGTCTGTTGGCTGATTTTAGAGGGGTTTTGGGCACTCTTTAGCTAGCTATACAAGCTGAAGACCAGCTTGGCCAGGACGATAAAAGCCCAGATAAACCAAACCATCATCAAAGAATTAGTGACAACTAGGGGTGCTTCGATCAGGGTTTTTAAGGCCGATCACCGATCGCAATCACTGAAAGCAGTATCTACCGATACCGATCTTTTTAAAGCCTTCTTTTTATCATTTGTAACTATTTATAGTGATACAATCAGGATTTTTAGACATTTATTCAGGGCCTGAATTTCATTTTTGAAAATGGAAGG